GTTGTCTGTTTCCCTGGTATATGGCAGATGGTATTGGTTCTTGCCTGGGTTTTGGTGTTTTATAGAGTGTGATTGTAGCTTGGCTATATGGCAGCAGTTGCTGACTCTTCTTGTGTAATATAGGGAGACAAAGAGTCCTCAAAGGAAGAAGGGTTGGGGGACATATAACAGCAAAACAACACCAGTCAGCGGGGAGGGGAAATGAGAGGAAAAAAATAGCAGCACCAACAAAAACAAGACTGAATACTGCACTTTCTAATCACAGAAAACGGAGAGGAGGGAGAGAAGAAACAGACGGGAAAAAAACAACAACTGTAGCTTAATATGAATATGCTTTTTTTTGTGAATTATATGATAGTTTACATGGGAGAACATTAGTTTTACATTCATTCTATTGTATATCGTCTCATTCCCATAGTTACAATCCCTTTCATGGGATCCTTCCCCCGTGCCCCCAGGTCTTCAGCACACCGTCGCTTTCCCTCTCTTGATCTAAAGTCTCCAGTTGCTCCATTGCTCCACGTCATCATCTCTGGCTCCATTTCAGGCATGCTTTAAAGTCCTAAGTTCCTGCCTTCAGAGCTGCCCAAGAGATTCCAAGTTGCCAGGCTCCAATCCAACCTTTGGCATGTTTTGCCTTTAAACTCTCCTTCTCTCCCTTCAGCACTCTCCTACTCTTTCCCGTGATAAAAAACAGAACAAAAAGGGAACATAATAAAAGTTCAAGGCCTCCATTTGGGCTGAGCATCTGTGCGCATGTGTGGCAGAAGAACCCACCAGTGGTGAGGGTGGGGGTGGCCACTCATCTCATGCTCTCCCTCTCTTCACCAGAATGGAGGTGGGCAACCAGTGAGCGTGCCAATTACCAGATACAAAAGAAAAAAAGAAAATCAGAACAAAGCAAAACTGACAAAGTATATTGTCCACCTTTGTTCCAAGGTTCCCGCAGTGTTTTTTCATGGTGTTTCTGCTCCCCCTGTTTCGTTCTGTCGCTTGGTCTCGCCCAGGATGTCTGCTTGGGCCTCTGAGCCCGGCCCGGCAGATTCAAAAGTACACAATTTTTTATTTCAGTTCCAAACTCCACAGGCTACAAGCCTTCAAACTTTTGAAATATTCCTATCTCTGTGGTTCTGAGTTTTGGAGCCCTGCCCTGGATCTGCTCTGCCTGGTAATCTGTGTTATTGCTGACCGTGACCTTCACTGCACCTCCACCCTAGCCACCATCAAGCCTCGCCAGTAACTCCTTTTATATAGTGGTTAAACTGTGTACAAGTAAGAGTCAATATGTCAAATTCTTAGTACCAATTTTGTGCCAAGAATGATACCCGATACTGGGAAAGATTAATAAGTAGGGTATATTCTATGAAAAGTGAATTCTGGTTGTACAGTGGTTAAATTAGAACAGTACCCAGCTGTGAACAAAAATGTTGGTGGTTTGAACCTACTAGGTACTTCACAGAAGAAAGATGTGGCAGTTTGTTTCCATAAAGATTTACAGCATAACAGCAATGAAGCTGCGAGCTAAGCCCTACAATGTTTAGTAGACTCCTGTGAACCTGAGTGGAGACCTGGCGGGCCAGCAGTGTGGCAAGATCTGGGGACTCTTGGGCCCACAGTCAGTGGCATAGCCACGCAGGACTGGAGTGGAGAGTGAAACATCCAGATGATAAGAAGAGATGGCATATGTATAAGAACACCTACACTTGCAAATAATACCCACTTGACCTGGCTTCAATAACTGGATGATCAGAGCTCAACTAGAAGAAGAAAGAAGAGGGAAAAAAGAGTAATCTGATACAATTTGATGAACTTGACCTACACCTACAGCGAGGCTCATTCCCACCCCCTCCATATACAGAGTAGTCAGGGATGGGCAACTTGAACATTGGCTACCTACAATGGGGGAACGGGGGCTACAGAGGCAAGAAGTGACTGACTTACAAGCTTTCAAGAGGGAACCTAGATCCAGATGGTGTGGAACAAGGTAGAATCTCCACTGAGTAGTATCCAGTCTGTCTGGGCAGGGCTAATGATAGATGTGGATAGGTTTCTTGAGATACAATAGTGAATAGTTGTTATCAGGATTGCTTGTGAGGGTTGGAAATGTAAAGGTTGACTTTGCAGTCCAGGAGCGGAGGTCCCTGGGACCATCAACGGAGAAGAGTGGAGAGCGGGACCCTACCCAGAGAAGCAGTGCCACCAGAGATGGAGGCAGAGACGGTGATGTGGAGAGATCGAGCGTCTGAGGACTTTAGACCCAGAGAGGGAGGGGGGCTGTGTGCTGACAAATTGGGGGGGGGGGCAATATATGATAGGATGAATGTAAAGCTAATATTCTCCCATGTAAATCATCACATAATTCACAATATAACATTTAAAAAAGATTTACAGCCTTAGAAAATCTATGGGGTAGTTCCACTCAATCCTGTAGAGTTGCTGTGAGTCAGAATCAAGCAGACAGCATTTTGGTTTTAGTTTTTAAAAGAGCCACTATGGAATAGGTGAAACAGGTATGTAGATAGTTAATTGCAAAATTCTGTATTCATTGTTAGAGAAGACATATATTTAAAGTTCAGAGATTGTACAAAATGAGTGAACTTTGTCTTGTAGGCAAAGATGGGAACTCTTGACGTGGGTTTTGAAGAATGTGTAGGAGTTCAGTAGATGAACCGTAAGCTGGTACATGAAGAAAGACACACCTGTACAAAGGGATGGCTGGATGTTGAAGATTCAGATGGAAAAGATAGGAGGAAAGATTGGATAGCTGGTGACATAAGGTCTTATTTTAGGAGCTGGGTGTTTTTAATTAGGGGAGTGTCAGAATCGAATTTGAATCTTTTAAAAATAGATTGCTCTTTCAATGATTGGGGAGGTAACATAGAAGATAGAAAACTTGGGAGACTGGACGACCTTTTAGGACAGAGGTGAGGGAGCTTTTTTACACAAAAGCTAATGCAGGAAAAAGCAATGTATTTTTTAGCTGCATTTCATTTTAAATAATGGTACATATTTGAATAGAGACAGTTTTCCTTTTAATTTAATTTATTTTTACTTTGGCAATGAGCTATGAGTAATTTTTCTTTTTTAAAAAGTAAAACAGCTTTTGTCCCGAAGGAGAAGCATGTGTATTCTTTTTTTAGTGTCCATTCTTTATTCCAGCTGGACCACCCATGGCCCCGCAAGGGTAGCAGGGTGGGGAGGGGTCAATTAGTCCCTCTGCAGGTTCTTGAGCCGTTCTTCCAGGTGTGCATCTGCATTCGCCAGGGCTGAGGTTGCAGCCTCTGCTTTCTTCCCACCAGCAGCCACACTGATTGAGCCCCCTATTGAGAGGAGATTGGAAAGTTCATCTGTCAGGTTCTGTCCCAGCTCATCCAAGACCTGGGACACAACAGCATCACTCTCCTCCTAGTCATCTTCGTCACCCATGGCATTATTGATAGCATCATTTACCATCTCCTCCTTCATGTCCATGATTTCTGCCTACCGTTCAAACTCCATCATGATCTTTTGGATCTGGGGAATCTTCAGCTGTCTGTTCATGGTTCCCATCACCTTGGTAACGCCGTTCATGGCTTGTGCCATTGAGTTGTTGGACTTGAGCATCTGTATCTTGAGGGACACGGCCTGGATGTTGGCCCGCATCAGCACAAACTTGTGCACGTAGCGCCGGGTGCGTACCAGGTCCTTGGCCATGATACGCACAGCATCCATCTGACCCTGTTTGGCCATCTTCTTAATGTCTGTGATGATTTTCTTCTCCTGGGTCTCCAGCTTCTGTCATTCTTGGTCCAGCTCCCTCATGGCTCGATTCAGGGCCTGCTGGTTCGGAGACACGGCAGGCACCCAGCATGTATATTCTTACGGATTTATTTTTACCTTCTTTATTGACTTGAAGGATGCCTTTGAGAAAGTATGTGCTGCTTTTTGGCCAGTAAAAGTTACTAATGCCATAGTTGAGACCTTTCAGCCTTTGTTACGTGTGTGCAGTGGTTCGAGTTAGAAGGGTATTCGCACTCACTGTTATTTCATCTTCCAAATGACTTAGAAAGTTGAGTATAACCATCGTCTGTTGTAAATGGTGGCATTGAAATGCCCTCACAAAACTAGTTCTTTATAATACTAGATGTGGCTAGAATTTGTTTATTCCATTTGCTGCATCTTGCATCTGTTTTCTAACATCTTGAGGGAAATTTGAATATGAGCTGTATATTAAATATTTTATTGTACCAGTGCTTAATTTCTTGGGGTTAGTGACATTATAGGTTTAGAGGAGAGTATCCTTATTTGGGGATATGCAGGTATAGCAAGCATATTACGAAGTGTCATAATACCTGTAATGTACTTAAAGTACCTTACTAACAAAAATATGAAGGAGAGAGATGGAGAAAGCATTTGGCACAATGGAACAATTGACAAATCTAGGTCTTGGTGTGGTGCTATAAGATAAGCACTAGACCGCATAGTTGTTTGAATCACAAGGTTGGTGGTTCGAACTCACCAGCCGTTCCTTGGAAACCCTAGACAGGGTCTTTATGAGTCAGAACTATTTAACAGCACTGTCTTTCTGGTTCGGAACCAACTCTTTGGCACTTAACAACTCAGCAACAACAAACAACAGGTGAAAAGTTGATGTTACTATTCTTTGAACTTTTCTATAGGATTTCATTTTGAAAATTCAGTAAACAAGATTTGGAGTAGTAATAGAAATAACAAGTATGGACAGATGTTTTTCAAGGCATAAGTTGTTACATTAAACGAAGAATATTTTCTCTATTGACAGGTCATCCTGTGGCCAAGAAAATCATGTTTTTAGGCAGTATGATGATAATGGTCTCAGTCATGCCTGAATGTTCTTTAATTATTTTATGTTTCAAAGCCAATTTCCACATATCAGTTTGCCGAGGCCTGTAAACTATGCTCTTTAAATATCTCAGCAATCTCTTCTCTCTTGGAAAATAGTTTAGAGAATGCAGTGGTGGTTTGGGTGTGGGCTTTGTTTGGTTTACCCCTGAAAGCTAAGTGGCATTCAATTTTATATAAAGGACTAAATGTGATCATGAACATAAAAGCATTTAAGATAGTGCTTGGTACACAGTAAAAGCTGAATATTAAGTGTTATAACTATATACTCACTGCCGCTAATTCAGAGATGGCTTGCTGGAAAAGAAGACAGAGATGCCAAAGTTTAGTAAGTTGATACATCAGGCAACAGGAGTTATATGATGACTACCTTGATCAGCCCAATTAAAAAAAAAAAAAAGAACCAACCTTTTATAACCTCCCTGGGGGAATGGATCTGCTTTTATATTCATTTTAGTAATTTTCTACCCTTACACTGTGCCTTCCACCTTGATTCACCAGGTATTGACATTTTCCCAAATTTTTTTCTCTCTCTGCTTCTTTCTGTCTCTCTCTCTCACACACACACACAATTTTTTTTTTCATTAAAATATTTTTTAAGATAAGATGCAGACATTATGGAATGTAACCCTTAAATACTTATACTCTTTACTCCCCAAAACAAGGGTACTCTTTTGCATAACCTACATGATAATATTATATCAGCACTGTTCATTGGATGCCTGCAGACAAGTTTTTCAGTGATACATTTGTCTTACTCTTGTTAAGGTGCCAGTGCCTTCCATAAAAGAGAAGTCCAGTTAGAAAAGTGGCTTCTGAGGGATGCTGCTGAGCCAGTTTAATTCCAGGCAGAGAGATTGGCTCAGAAGGTTCTGGTGACTGTTTTTTTTTGGGGGGGGGAACCTCAAAGGACAGGATGATTATGGGGTCTTATGAAATTTTAAGGAAATTGACAACTGAGAAGAAGGCTAGAAAGTTGTCCAAGGAAATTTTTCTACCATGACAGTGTACCCGCACATTTGCCAAGGTAACAAAAGCTATTCTACTGGAAGTTCCCATCCACCCTACAGCCCTCATCTTGGCCCCTAAGGCTTCCTTTTGTTCCCCAAACTCAAACAACATTTCAAAAGAACACAATTTGAGTCTCTCAAGGATGCCAAAACTGCTGTTTTGATGTGTTGTAAGTCAAAGAGCACAGAATACTTTGGGGAAAGGTTGTTGTTGTTGTTAAGTGTTGCTGAGTTGGTTCTGACTCCTAACGACGCTGTATAAGGTTTCCAAGAAGTTGCTGGTGGGGGTGAACCGTGACCTTTAGTTTAACAGGCCAGTGCTTATCCTACAGTGCCACATCAGGACTTCTGGGGAAGGGTTAGAGAGATGGAAACACCACCTTCAGAAGTGTGTAGAGCTAGGTGGAGGATATGTGAAGAAACAATAGCTTAACATTTTGTTTTTCCTGTTAAGGTTGTTTTGTTGTTATTTTTTAGCAATATTTTTAGACTTACCCTTGTGAAACAATTTAAATTTCCCTCAAATTTTTTCATGGTTGTTTTTTATAACTATCTTTTCATATAGAATCTAGTCAAGGATCACACATTGCATTTGGTT